CCAACAACCTAGACCACAAACACAGTCCCGTTCAGTCCTCTTGCCTCTGCATCCTATATGTGGTTCGTATTAAAAAAAACGGGGTGTGGAGGGATGCCTCGGGGAGTCCCAAGCCAAGGTGTGCGCTAGAGGCGGTAACTAAAAAGGTACTCGCCTCTATCCCTGGCTGTGAGAAACTCTCCGAGGATTCCCGATCACATCCTGTTCGCTGCACCAAAACTGTTAGGCAAAAAGATTCTTTTCCCCAAGAATCAGGCAAGCAGAGACAATACTGAAGGGGGGGTTTATTCATGGTACTGGGAAGACTGACAAGCAGCTTCAAAAATATGGTGCCATAGTGGCCAGTTATATACATTTTTTTATTAATTTATTTGCATTTATTTGTACCCACAGAGACAGACATTGTTACAAGTCGAGAGAACCCTGAACAAAGATAAAAATAAGAACAGTACGTACATATAGAGGTCATCCTAATTGCATCAAAGTCTATGACTACCTTGCGGGGGAAAGAGGTGGGGTGTGTGTGGGGGGGGTAGGGATGAGTGCTTACAGACATCCGGTGGGTTGTGAAGGGAGGGTTAGCATTTTTTTTTAACCAATAAGCTGAGCTAAGTTATTATGTATTAACAGAAACTATGTCCTTGTTTTTCAGCAGTTTCTGTCTTTTCCGCTGGCTGAATTTTAACTTCTTCCTGACATACCCAAGAAAAATTCTCAGAGATATGGCATGCTTTCCTGGAAATATCTGAATGATCCTATTTAATGAATGCCCACACTCCTGCTTTCCCCTTCTCTCTACCCTCTTCCTTCCCTCCCCATCTCTATTCCCCTCCTCTGAACTTTGCTTCTATTCTTTAGTATAACTTAATACTTTTGCTGTAGCTAGTTGGATTTTTACAAACAATTTTTGTCTGTAAATCGTGTAATAGAAATAATTGACTCATATTTTAACCATTCATATTATATACATAATTAAATGTTTCAAGTATAGCTAAGGTTAGGTAGCAAATGGTTAATATAAGTAGTTTAAATAGAGTTTGTTTTTTCTATATATATATTTTGAAAAAAAAATTAATACAAATTTAATAGAAAAATATAAGAACCAGCCCCAGTCCTTCTCCTTCCCCCCATTCCCCCACAATTTCAGTAAGGGACCAATAGCCCCCTTACACTAAGCCTCTGGCTGCCAGATGTTGGGACTGGACAACAGGGGATACATTACCCGATAATTGCCCTGTTCTGTTAATTTCCTGTGAGGATCTCGCACTGGCCACTGTCAGCAGACAGGATACTGGGCTAGATGGGCCAATATGACCGTTCTTATGGTCTTATGTTATGGTGGCTAGGACTGAGAATGGCAACCATGGAGAACAGCCAAGCTGTTCTACTGGCATTTCCTCTTCAGCCAATAAAGACAACCCTCCTACCCCCCAGGAAACACTAGAACATTCATGACAAAAAAGCCTGATTCCTCTTGGGGCACTGGGAACTGGAGTTGGGGCTCTGCACCTCTCAGTGACAACACACGACTCCTGTCTGATATCTCATGGCTGACTGGAAGGGGGCTGGAAGTCTCAGTTGGAGTAAGTAAGTACATTGTTGGCTGTGTGTCACCCCCAAGGAGGTCAGCCAGGTTCCTGGAGCTCTGTGCGCTGGTTGCTCAGGGAGAGGCACTGTCCCTGGGAGGGAGGTGAACCATGGGCAGACTCAGGGTCTGCCGGGCAACCAAGATGGAGAGAGGAGACAGTGACAGGGGGTGGATGGCAAGTAGCCTGCTCGGAGGAGGGGCAGTGTCTGAGAGAAAGGAGGGAGAGGGCAGAGTCAAATGATTGACAAGTGATAGCCTGGGAAGAAGAGCTAGCCTGACCAATAGGAAGTGTGATGCCTGTCCCTGGGAGCACAGTGGGAAGGGGGAAGCCCTTTTGGAGGGGTCTGGAGCCAGTCACAGGACTGGCTGTGTGGGGAGCTGGTGAGTCCATTCCTGCATGCAGGGTTGCCCCTGAGAACTGGCCTCTGGGGACCTGGAAGCGAAATCCCTCAGCTAGGCCCTTTCCTTCTTCAAGGTGACCCCCCGTTTATGGAGTTTTGTTGGGAAAACTCCCCCCACCCCTGACAGCCAGGCTCAGTGAGACCTTCAGCTCCCCAGGTAAAATCAGCCACCGCATGGCACCACAGCTCTGGCTGCTAGCTCAGGGCTGCCTGCCTGCTGTGAGAGTGTCTGAGTGCTAGGGTGGGAGATTGAAGTTTGGAATTTAGTAGAGTTATTATAATCTGCACCTTGAGCCCTGCACCCCTTGGTGGGGAGGCGAAATCCTGGTACCAGAAGCAGTCTGACTCCTGCACAAAGAAGACGCCTGCCAGCAGTGAACATCAGCCCCTCGGCAGTGACTGAGAAGTCCAGAGCCGTCTCTGAACCTGAGGATCCGTCGCAGAGTTGTGGTCAGGGACATTGTTTGGGAGACCCCCAACTCCCTGAACTGTGTCCTCAAGCCAGCGGGTAAGGGTTTGGGGATTTTATTACCTGCTACCCATTAAACTTGTGGGGGGACTTACCATCTTATTCCACTGGTGAGTCTTTGGGCTGTATTGAACCACGTGGGCCAAGTTGCTAATTGCTGCTATAGAAGATATTGTTGTCACAGGCTATCAAAGGCTCCTACAAAGTATGTGTACCAACTAATTTTAACGTTTGCTATATCAGGTCATGTGAGTGGGGAAATTCATGGGTATCATCAGCGTGGGCACCAGTGACCACAAGAGTAGTGTTTCACCCTTTTATATTTACTTCCTGTTTAATATAATTACTGTCTTGAATATATTGTATATGATTGTGTTATTTCTTGGGAGTCTCCAACTATCTGGCAAGTAGTTAGTTAGAATTTTCCTTCCAAGCTGCCCTTAAAAGGAGTGAGGTGGGTGGGAGCACCACCAAATAAATTCATATAGGAAGGAAATAAGGAAGTTACATCTTGCTGAGCTGGAGGGGGTTCCAGAAGAACCCAGGCCTGTGCTTCAAAACCCGTAGAAGAGGTAACCAGGTGAACAGGATACTACATGCAAAAGACAGGCCAAGACCTGACTGGGCTGGAATGCTGAGCTATACACTCACTCTTGGAAGTGGTCCCAGCAGGCCTGGGGTGAGGCGTGCTGGTGAGGTGGTTTGGGACTAATGTTGCACTGTCCATATGCAAGTCATGCTAGGACAGGATGGAGTTCTTGTCTGCCTCTAGTAGCTGAGCCATAGAAGGTTTATAAGGCTGCTGCTACAACCATTTAAGGCTCCCCATCTGTTAGCTCAAGTAGTAGAGACTTTCCCTTCTAGTGCTGAAGGTTCCCAAGTTCTAAGCCCTGTGGCTGGTTTAACAGTCACTTACACTTGCTGTGTATGTTCCAGGGTAAATAAGGAGCTTGATTTTTCTGTCTTAGATCTTCTTATAAGCAATACATTCAATTAAAAATGAGATTTCAGGGCTTATGTAATTTTGGGCGTTCAAAGAACTGTATGAATTTTCAGGCTTCATACAAGCCACACGTATGACACTTTGGAAGTTCACTTCTCATGACCACAGCAATAAACCATAGCAGTTGGCTACTGCAGCCCTTAGTCACCTGTGAAGCCTACCAATACCTAGCTAATATATTCCCAGAGTATGGTTCATAGGGTGAATTATGCAGGGTGTCTTTCTACTTAGAAAAGACAGTTCCTACTATGCAGAGAAAAGAAAATAGCAGGTAAAAGGTAAGAGGCAGAACTGGATGAAATTTTCAAAATTTGATCTGCCTGTAGGTCTCAATTCAGGAAAGCACTTAAAAACATGCTTAATTTTAAGTACATCCTTAAGTCTCACAGATACTTAGTGCTTTGCTCAATAGGGGCCTAGCTGGAAGTCCCCTTTTCTTCACTATTTTGAATTAATTTCTGGCTACTTTAATTCTTCTAACTTCCCTTTTTCAGCCTCCCTGGACACTATCTTTCTTTTGTTATCTGGTAGCCTGGCTGCCTTTTCAGCAGCTGTTTGCAGCTTTATTTTCTATTGGACTCCTTTCTATTGGGCTCTTAATTGAGGTTTATGTGTCAGTAGAAAAATTGAAGGTGGTTGTTGAGCCACAAGCTGCTGCTACAGATACAGAGGCAGACAGCAGGGAGCAGTTTAAAGTATCCCCATTTCTCCTCCAGCTCCCTATTTGTCATAGAATCATAGAATATCAGGATTAGAAGGGATCTCAGGAGGTCATCTAGTCCAACCCTCTGCTCAAAGCAGGACCAATCCCCAACTAAATCATCCCAGCCAGGGCTTTGTCAAGCCGGGCCTCAAAAACCCCTAAGGAAGGAGATGCCACCACCTTCCTAGGTAACCCATTCCAGTGCTTCACCACCCTCTACCCTGTCCCTTCTGTCTTCCTCTCCAACACAAGTTCCAACAGAAACTGGTGCAGTAAAAGATATTACCTCCCCCACCTTCTCCCTCTCCAACATTCCTTCTCCATGTTCTCGATCAACAAGCACTCTGCTCTTTCCCATCAGCCACTCTTCCTGGATAGTGCCCTGGGCGAAGCAGAGCTAAACTCTGAGAATCCCGCTCCCTCCGGTTAGGAAAGGGGAGGGAACATTCTCTAGAAACTCACCAGACAGATGTTGCCACGATTCTCAGCTGCAACCGAGAGGGATCCAGAAATGATGAACTGCCCGGGAAAGAGAAAACCATCATTCACACTTCACACTTACAAGAAAGATCTCTCCTCCGAGACAGGCAGGAAGCAAGGACAAAGAATGACACACTTCCCTCGGCACGGGCAGTCATAATAATTATACTTAGTGCCTAGAGAGCACTTTCCATCTAATAATGCTGCTAACCAGGTTCCCTTCAATCCTCTCAGTTAAGGTGACACCCATGCCATAATCTTTCCCCCCAGATTCTCCTCCTCTTCTCTCCCCCTTCTTGCTTCTTTTTGACAACTGAGCTTGCTTTTTGCCCCATAAATAGAGCAGTGACTGGATGGTCCTGAGAAGAGCTCAGGATGTCACCAGGTTCCTCACCCCACCTTCCAACCAATGCAGCTGTGCCATCCCCTGCCTATGTCTCTACCTATGGAGATTGTATAGTACTCCCATCACCATGGTATCAGAGTACGTCTACATCTGAAGCCTGACCTGCAGTGGGGACACAGGCGGGGGGCTGCTCTCAGGTTCCCCAGCCCCCCGCCTCAGCCCCCCGGGGCTCCCCACAGTGTCCTGGGCTCCCTGGGCAACTCTTACCATGGCTAGGCTCTGGCTTCCAGTCTGACTGGGGGGCGGGGCTTCGGGGGAAGAGGAGGACCAGGGGGCAGGGCCACAGAGAGGGTGGGGATTCTCCATGTGTCTTACTTTTGCCTTTTGAAAAAATGGTCGCCTTACCTGTACTTTCCAGCCTCCCAGCTATGCTAACATGCCTCAGTCCAGACCTTCAGTGCCCTCTGCTGTCACCTCCATACTCTGCTTTCTGTGGCGGAGCAGTTACCAATTTCACTAAGAGTTGAATAGTCCCTGGGTTGGAAGCTGGCAGGAGATTTTCCCTTTTTGCTCATCAGCCAAGTTTCCTCCCCTCCATGTCCCCATTCAGGGTAGATAAAACCCTAACAAGGCCCAGTTCAGCCAGGGGAATTGCAAAGGGAGAGAGACCTGAGCTTTGACCTCAGCCTAGTAAGCTAGAAGTGCTCAGACAATGACCTCACAAAGGCCTGTGCCTTGACATCAGCCCAGTAGGCAGAAGTGCTGAGCCAATGACTTCACAGATGTTTGAGTTCCAACATAGGCCCAGCAGAGGGGCTAAGGCAGGGACTTCACAGCAGCTTGGCCCTTAACACCAGCCCAACAAGACAGTTTTGGTGAATAGGATGAGCAGATTTTCAAAATGAGAAGCCAGGACACCCAACATGTAGAAATGTGGGGTAACAGGGATTGTGAGAGTGGCACTCAGGGCTGGTAGCTGGTGAAAGGCACCTGTCTTTCAAGCGCATGTGGGTGGGTTTTATTGGGGGACTAAGGTGGCACACGGGGAAGGTTTTTTGAAGCCTAGTCCGGGGCACTGCATGATCCACCTAGCAATGGCAGGAAATGGGTCAGCACATTAGATGGGCCAATGATCTACCAAGTGACAGCAGCAAATGTGACAGCAGACTAAGAGGCGTGCCAGTTTAGATGGACTAATGTTCTACCATATCCACGTGGGAGTAGGGTGACCAGACACCCAAGTCAAATATCGGGACGCGGGGGGGCGGAGGGGGGGGAGGGAGGCA